TCCGGGGTGGCGGGAGCTCCGCTGGTGGCGACTCAGGGGCCCCCGGCGCGTATTCCCCTTCCAGGACGCACGGAGGCACCAGACGCCGCTGTTTTGGCACCAGCCTCTGCCATCTACCAGGAGAAGAGAGCGGGACTCTCAGAACTAGGGGCTGAGGGGGAGGAGGGCGGGAAAAGGCTGCGGAGAGCAAACGACCCGGCTCAGCACCCTCTCTGTCATCCGCGGCAGGCCTCTTAAACTACCCTTCTAGAGTTTATCCTTCAGCTAAATGGGAACATTCTGCTCAGTGCCTAGGACGGCACACTATGCTGACAGGCCTTGGGGTGGGTTTTGTTTAGCTGACTTGGGTTGAGAGGCCACAGCCCAGCACTGACTCCTACATCTCTGTTATGGGCAGGCTAGCAAGGTCCGTGACCCCTGTTCTGTGAGGTCGAGAACTCTTATTCATTCATCTACTCACTCATTCATTCACCCCTTCTCTAGAACAGAGAGCACTGTTCTAGGCTCCGGGGATGCATGGGTGGACGACTCCAAAAATCCCTTAGGTGATGGAGTTCACATTCGGTCGGGGAGAGCCGGGAAAACAGGAAACATGATAAGTAAATGCATTATCCGGTAAGTGAGAAGGCTGCCTGCTTCCCAGAGGTGGCAACACTGAAGCAGGATGGGTGGGAGTTTTGACAAGCTCAGGTGTGCTGATCTTTCTGTTCTTTAAGCTCAAACCCACCCCAGGACCTGTACGCTCCTTCCTCTGCCTTAGTCTTTCAGATCTCAGTGGTCTCTTCCTGACCACTTAAATCTCAGGCACACCCTGCTCTCTATCACACCACCCTATTTTATTACGTTATTACATCACTGTCCGAATTTATTTATTTGTTTAGTACCTGTCTCCTCTTCAGTGGCATATGAGCTCCGTGAGGGTAGGGACCTTAACTGTCCTACGCTCCACTGTATTCCCAGCCCCTCAAACATACTAGGGCATCGACCAGCATGTGAAGTGAATGAATTAATGGGGGCGCCAGGGGATGTTTAGAGCATTTTTCACTAGAGGGACCAGGATGACAAAATGTCCTCTGGGAAGGAGGCAGAGAGAAGAGGAAGGGGTAACTAGTGAGGCAGTCCGGTCTGTCCTGGCCGTCGGGGCGCTGGTGACCGGAAGCAGAAAGAAGGAGAGCCTGGAACCACAGGTTCCCACCCGCCAAGGACACCGATGTCCTTTAACCCACGGACCACCTGGACAAACCTGTGAGGAAAGCGCCAAAGAAATCGTCTTTCCGTTTTTCAGATCAGGAAACTGTGGCTCTGAGGATTCAAGAGACCTGGGTGAAGTTCCACAGGTTGGAAGTGACAAAGTCGAGAGGAGAACCCAGGTCTCCCAGCCCCTGTCCCCTCCAATTAGTGGACGGAAACACTCAGAGTCTCTCTAGTCATCATGCTCAGCTCCTCTCCTCTATGCCATGCTCCTTCCAGCCGGTCCTGAAACTGCCACCCTAAACACCCTGCAAAGCCCCAGCAGCCTCACGGGAGACCCCCATTACCTTTTACTGCAGCAGCCTCCTAGCTGGTCACCCCACAGCCAGTATCTTTCCAGCCATGTGATATTCAGCAGCTGCCAGAGCTCTTTTAAAATTCAAGTTTGATCACCTCACTCTTCTACCTAAAACTCCTCTAAGAGACGGCAACATGTCAACGTGATTTAATGAACTCTGGATTTGAGATATTTTTATTTTCTTCTATATAATTCTCTATCTGCCAACTTTTTTTTTTTACAATGAGCATGATACTTATGCAATCAGAAAAAGATAACCCACAATTTCTTAAAATCTTCCAGTCTTTCCAAGATAATATCTAAACACCTTCAGCCGTAGACAAGATTCTGTCTATTTAACCATATCTCTTGCTATCCTAATTCAATTCTCTCCCCATTCTTCCTACAAACCATTTGCCACCTCCAAAATATGCTTTATTCTCTAGCAACATGGGAGATAGTCAACTACTAGTAGTTCCCTGGACACTTTATGCCTTTTTATGCCTCTGGATTTTTGAATATGCTGTTTTCATTTTTCTCTCATCTACCTGAAGAACTCCTATTCATCCTTCAAAACTTCAGATGTCGCCTCCACTGTGAAGCCTTCCCTGATAACCACATCTCACAAGAGAGTAAATTCTTCTATACTGCTTTGTATATTCATCCAGTAGTTATCTGTGTGACTTCCCTACCAGGGCAAGGACAGTGCCTGGTGTACCTGTCACATTGTACGTGGAGAGCATTAGAAGAGATCTAAGTCGTCGTTTGGGTTCAGTGTCTTTGGTTGGAGTGTTTTATGCTAGATTCCTTCAGAAGCAGAAAAAATCGAATTCGCATAGTTTATTTTGGAGGTGCCCCCGGAAGTACTGGTGGAGGAGTGGGGGAGGTAGGCAGGAAAGGGAAGGAAACCAGCACAGGAGACATTAATGAGCCCTTCCAGTGGTGGGCAGCTGATGTTCCGTCCCGCTGGGGACTTCTGGGAAACTGCACAGACCATGCTTCAGTCATTCCGGGCAAGGAAGCTGCAGTATTTATCTATTAAGGCTGCTCCCAGGGTGCTAACCTGCCAGCCTTTCCAGCCTGCCTGGTGCGTGGGCTGAGCACACTCCTGTCACGGGAGAAAGGCTTCCAACAGAGCCCCAGGTCCTGACAGTAGGAAGGTGATGGGTCAGATCTGTGCTGGCGGGAACACAGAATGATGAGGGGAGTGGGCATGGCACTGGAAGTGTTTGCTATAGGGACAGAAGGAAGCAACCTCCACCCCCACAACACACACACACCATCAAAGGGCAAATCAGCAAGTGCTGAGAGTTTCACTTTGTGGTTTCAGAGACTTCTGAGGGATGGCAGTGAGGACCCCAGGCTGGGGCTGGGCTGAGGGGAAGGCGTCTCTCTCCATCTCTGGTCCAGATTCCCTGCCCACAGCTCCACGAGCCATGGGGCCATGTGGCTTCTCTCTGTGCCCCGCATCCTGCCCCTCCAAGTGGCCTGAGGGCAAGTGGGTGGGCAGGCGGCTGGAGCATTATCAGAGCTAACGTGATCTCTGGGAGGCGTCACTTCCACTTACCATGGCACTTGGTGACACAGGCCATGGGCACAAGGCGATGATGGCTGATGCTCTCAGTCCAGCCCTGGCCATCTCCCCACAGACGCCGAGACCCTGACACACAAGGGCTGGACTGGAGGATGTTTGGGATCCAAAGGACTGGGTTCTGGAAGGGTCCTGGGGGCACGCTCAGAACCTGACCTCCATCGCACTGGTGGGAGGACGAGGCCAGAGCAGAGGAGCGGTTTGCTCATATGTTTGCTTCTTCCCTCTTATTCCTTCCTTTCTTTATTCTGTTTTTTATTATTTTTTATTTGTTTGTTTTGGGATCAGGGGCCAGTAGACCTGAATGTCTGTGCAGCTGACCTGCTCAGGGGTAATTAATTACAAATTATGCTGCATTTACAAATAGCATAAGAGTCTCCTCAGTAAAAGACCTTGTGAGCTGAAGTCACTCTCCTCCAGGACATCTCCCACGAAAGCACCCAGGGGGTCCTCAAGGCTCCCAACCCACTCGCGTGTGGCTCAGTCCTTATCTTCTCCTCTACTGAGACCCTTTCCCCAACTGACCGCCATCCCAGGGGGCCACGAGGCTTGGCTGGGCTCGTGCCGTCAAGTCCTCAAAAGGATGCGTCTAGTCGCTCACCTATATCTGCCGTGGAAGGACTTTGCATTTTATTCTGAATGAGATAGATAGGAGCCACTGGAGGAAGGAATAGAATCTGAACTCCTTTCCAAAAGGTCCGGCCCTGACCGGCTTTAAAAAGCGTCTGTCCACGTGACACTCACGTTGACATTCCCCGTCTAGATCCAGCTACAGACTGGACATCTCGGCCTGGGTCATAAAAGGCACCTGGGACTCATGATGTCCCGGGTCACATTGTTGACCACCCTTTCTGACCATCCACCTCACCCCGCCACACACGTACCTGCTTCTCCTTGATTCCCTCATCCCAGGTGATGGCATCTTCCTTCTGCTTTCTCAGGGCAAACACCTTGGAGTTGGCCTTGACTCTTTCTCACAAAAGAAACAAATGCGTTCT